CCTAAACGGTCCGGGAGATGCACCCCCTTACAACTCCTTGAGCCCGCTGGCGTCCCTGCTGCTCCGGTCCCGGTGGCGTGGATGTGTGCTCCCTTCCAGATCTTGCCTTGTCCGGATCTTTGGCCACCGTTGCATCCCCGTCGCCTCTCATTCCGCTCAGCCACGCAACCTTGCCCTCCTCCAAAGCTCGCACGTCCGGCGGTGCCCGGTGGCTCCTTTAGCGTCGGGCGTGGCTCCCCTTCTTGAAGTCGTAGCTTCGGCTTATGCCCAACTTCCTCTTCTCCGCTTCGTGCTCCGCCGACTTGGGATTGCTCTGATCTTGGCCAGAACGAAATCCCTACATCCTATGCTGGCAGTGGCAACACATGCGGGGTGTCGTCCCTTCTTGGAGGCGCTGCGTGGCCGTTATATGTGCCCCTCTTCGAGCATCAGAGGAAACCCTAGGTCTGGTTTTCTAGATCGGACGAAGATGGCGTCTTTGATATCATTCTCCTTCGTGAAGGTGTTGTCTTTGTTTGCTCGCGGTGTCCTTGGTGCTGGATTACACCATGTTCACGCATCTTGCCATGTATTGTATTAGGTTATGTACTCATTCTAACTTTTTCTACCAATGAAATGATATGTAAGCTTTGCGTATTCATGAAAAAATGTGTTAAATTCGAAATTATCTGACGGCAAACAGACCGGCCGATTCTAGATAATAAGTCGGCCGACGCGTAGCATGCGTCATCTTTCCCACGCCGGCGCTGATGCATATTTTTTTCGCGATCAAATTTTGCAAAAAAAGTTCGCGAGTCAGATTTTGCAATTGGCGCGCGCTGATTCATCTAGAATACGTGCTTTGACTTTTGACGTCACACGTTGCACATTTTTTTTCTGAGCCATACACGTTGTATAGTTGAACTTGAACACGGCCGCACGTCCCGGGGCCTGCGGCACACGCGCACCACGAGCGACGCGCGCCATATATTTTCAAAGAAGAGCTTAGCCCAACTTCACCGCGCGACCCTATTCTGTTCAGTCCCGTCCGTTTGGGTAAAAGGGACAAAAAAAGCGGTCCAGCGCGCGGGAGCAATCGGAATTTTGTCCATTTTGTGTCCGTTTTTGACCTATCCACGGCCCAAGTTTGCGCCGCTTTTGGGGTGAAACGGACACCATGCGGACGCGCGTCGTCTGCGCGTGTCCTCCCCTGGCCCGCCCGCCGGTGGCATAAGGCGGGCCTTTTTCTATCCGCCCCCCTCTCTCCTTCCGGCCGCACCCCCTCCACTTTTCCCCATTCTTCCCCTCGCTGCCGCCGCCGCTGCCGCACCCCCTCCACTCTGCCGCCGCCGACGCGAGCTCGTCCAACCCTTTCCTCTCGGCGCCGCCGAGCTACCCAACCACGGGCACCTTGTTTGCGCACCCGCCGGCCGTTTTTGGGGCGGATCCGGTCGGTCTTGAGCTCGGCCGGCTGTGGGAGGCCGGGCCGCGCCATGGACTGACCGGGCACCTCGCCGGAAGGCCCTGGCAGGGCCGCAAGGCCACATGCAGGCAGTGGCTCCTCCTCTAGCCGCTCGGATCTGCATCTCGGTGGTCCGCCGGCAGATACACGAATGGCGGTCGGTCGGACTCGGTGCTTGCCCAAAAGCTCGTCGGCGCACCGTTGCCACTTATTAAGTGCGACCACTGCCCAAGGATGATCGTGCGCCGCATGTCTACAACGCCGGAACATCCCGGATGGGTGTTCATCAAGTGCTTAAACGATGGGGTATGCGCTTTTCCTAGCTTCGGTTTGTGCTCTAGATTTGACTAGTTGTGCTAACTTCAAATTTTATTGTGTAGAATGGATGCAAGTTTTGGTATTGGGAAGAAGAGTACATCGATATATTGATAGAGCGAAATTTAGTACATATTCGTGCACTTTTAGCTAGCATAGAGGCTGTAAATGAGACAAATGCACTTGTTGCTAGATTAGAGGCTAGACACGAGACTAGGTCTGAGGAAGCAACATCTACTTCTGGCTTGAAGAAGAAAGGAGGATGCCAGATCGAGCCTCCTCCACAGATCAACAATGAGTGCATCGAGAAGGCCCTAACCCAACTTAAGGGGGCAGTTATGGAAGTTGGCTATCTTCTAAAATGTATTCTTATTGTTTTTATTTTCCTTGGCCTTACTTTACTAGTCAAAATGTGATGATGTATTGTCATGTATCAAAAATAAATGAAAAAAAAGTTAAAACTTGCAAAGAAAAAATGCATGCGGACAGAATGTGGCCGGGATGCGTCCGCGCGTTGATCGCACGGCCACCGCATCCCAGGACACGCCTAGACACGATTCCAAATCCCTACCCAAACGAATAGAATCCGGACAAAACAGACGTCCGTTTGGAATCGCGCGGTGCAAGTTGGCCTTATCCGCCAGATCTACGTGCAGTTCCGACGCGTCACGGCCCGTCTTAGATAACACGTGGTGTTGTGTACTCGACTGACACTGCGATCTTTCACCGCAGAAGGTCCTCTTTAGTTTATAGCCGCAAGATTGTATGGCCGAGATCTGAAGCGCAGCGATCAAGCCAGCAGCATTCACCCGAAGAGCGCGCGTGCGTGCCACGGTCACCGCCGGCATCCCTCGGCCGGTGCCACGCGCCGCCCACGGACGGCCTTCGAAGCGTTGCTGCCACCGTCGTCGACCGGCGCCGTCAAGCTGTTCCCTGGAAAGCGTCACGCCACCGGGCCGTAACGCTGGCTTCTCCTTTTCCGGTCCCGTAGTCCCCGGAGCCGCCAGCCTTTTCGCCGCAAACGCGTGCAAAAACCCGAACGCTTCCCCGCGCGGCGCCGGCGACCCAGGAAGCAACCGCCCCACACCCACACCCGCACCCACCAGTCAACGCGCGCGGGGGCACACGCAAGCGGCGACGCCACCAGACGACGCCAGGCGGGGGGGCGGCTCACGGCCAGAATCTCCGGGAAATTATAAGGAGGGCGAGCGCGCGCTCTGGCTGGGCGACGGTGGGATGCCGCGCGGGGCGGGGACAACGCGGTGACCGCGGCCCGCGGCCCCTGCCGGCCACGCACAGGCGCGCCGACCGGATCGACCGATCACCGGACTGCTCGACCCGATCAACGGGGCCACCCGCAGGCCACACCCACCCCACCCGGCCGCGATTCTGATACGGATGCCGACGCACGGATCGGCGGAAGGCGATCGGCAGCACAGGAGCAGACGCGCCGCAGCCTCACTTCGGTCTCGGACGCAATATTATTGTTTTTTCTCCAAATGGCCTCGGGATGAATGGATGCGGTGAACGGCAGTCGCGCTAGGAGTGTATGGACAAGAAGCGGTCCCGCCGCTCGTGTATCATACTATCATACGTACATACATACACGTCCTGTCAGGATCAAATCAAAATCTGTGACCGATCGATGTGGGGCAGAGTTGCTTCATTTGGTTTGGCAATTTTTGGTTTATACTCAGTTAAGTAATACCCCGACGCTTCATTGACATGTACGGACACACACACCATGGCGTGTACCTGGAGCCAACAGTCGAGTACTACTAGTACTTTGAACATTTTTCCTTTTAAAACTCGAGTACTTTGAACCAGGAATGAAGTGTGGTAATCAGGGCTGGTAGTTGCGTGCGTGGCGTATGATTTAGGGGCTTCAATTGCGAGCACACACGTGGATCTGGCTCTACAAAGGCTAGATAGAAAGCAACGAAGCACCATGATATCGGCCCCCCTGGGCAATCATGTCTTTGAATCTAGCGTTGGACTTGGACATCAGCGTGCCTGCTGATTGAGAGCATGACACCAACGCATGAGCTCTCGCAATTGAAATGTGGTCGCGACACACATAGCTGTTCCCCCTTTATTTTATTCCTGTTCTGAAGGGGACGCACAAAATGGTTGCATATTCTCCCCGCGTGCTTTGGAGAGGATAAACGGCCGTCGAGAGGCGAAAAGGCGTTCCATTTGGTGGATGATACGATACAGCTTTCTAATAATTTGACAAAGTGTCGAGAAACAAAACGCCCAAAGACACGATCAACAGTCGAGCAGACGGACCGAACTCCGACTTTTCTCACCCAGCTTCAATTAATCAATTATGCAAACAAATTAATACGAATGATCTGCGAATCGCCATCCGGATAAGACACGCACGCAAACACACACTCTTTAACGTGCGGCCAAGCCTGATTCCCCCTGATTCCTCCAAACATAAAAACATACTATAAAAAAACAAGAACTTTTCTTTTGGAACTGGGAAAAAAAGGGCTTGATGAAGTCAAATTGAGGTTGAGCCTGGGTCGGGTCATCAGAAACCATTCCTCCTCCCTCATAAAAACTCCCTGGAGCACCCGAGGCGCCACCCCGCCAGGGCCAAGCTCCGATAAAAGCCCGCGCTCTCCCTGCCCCCCACCTAACGTTCTCCCAGCCTCCAGTCCACCCCGCCACGCACGCACGCGCGCGCGCGCTCTAGCTCGCTCTCGCTCTCGGGTCCTAGCTGCTCCCGCGTCTTCTTGACCTTTCCCCCCGCCGAGAGGTGCCGGCAGGTCGGCGAACCCGCGCCCGCGCGCGCTCAGGCTCTCGCTCTCGAGTCCTAGCCGTCTTGACCTTCACCCCCGCCGAGAGGGAGGTGCCGGCAGGCCGGCGAACCAGCGCCCGCGCGCGCGCCGGGCCGGCATGGCGGCGGCGGAGGGGGCAATGCGGATGGGCAAGTACGAGATGGGGCGGACGCTGGGGGAGGGGCACTTCGGCAAGGTGAGGCTGGCGCGGCACGCCGACACCGGCCGCGCCTTCGCCATCAAGATCCTCGACCGCCAGCGCATCCTCGCCATGAAGATCGACGAGCAGGTGCGCGCCCCCCCTCCGCCCAATCGATTTCTTCCGTCCCGCTCTTGCGCGTTCCGGGTGCTCACCGTGGTTGCTTGCTTGCGGCGGCCCACGCAGATAAAGACGGAGATCGCGACGCTGAAGCTGCTCAAGCACCCCAACGTCGTCCGCCTCTACGAGGTAAATTTCACCCCCACCATCCCTCGCCCAAGCCCACAAGTCGAGAGAGTTCGTAAGATTTGGTCCTCTTTTTCTTTCCCTGGCGCTGAAATGTTCTTGGAGCCGGGGTGGGTGGGTAGGAGTAAATGAGCGCCAATCGCGTGATCGGCACATCGATCCGCAGCCACACCGTGCGCCATTGAAGTTGCCGTCTGAACCTCCAAAGCTGCGGCGGGTTCCAATTATTTTATCTCAACTTAAACTTATTTTGGCTGCGGAGACGATAGGCAGAAGAAGACTCACCGAGCAACCCAGCAGTCGTCCGCTTTGAATAACCGCCCACATGCGCGGTTAAAAATGGGTTCTATCCTTTTTCTTGGTGGCGACATCGGTGTAAAAAGGACCGAACGCCTGAGGTGACTAGCCAAACAATGAATTTTCTACCCGGCCGGAGCAGGAAAGGGCAAGAGCCCTGTCGCTCTCGTGTTACACGCCACCATTAATTTTCTGCCTTGCACTATTTCCTCAGCATTATTATACCAGGGCGAGCATTACTTTTCTGTCCTGTGTATTATACTAGTGCGACCATTGAGATTGGCCAAGATCCAGCGTAGTTACGTGCAGCAAGAAAACAAAACACGGGCTGTCACATCTGATGACGTCCATGGTCCATTGGGCATTATGATACTAGTCAAGATCATGCTAACCTGACCGGACGTCTGCGCGCCATCTCAGCCGTGTGATCTGGGTGTGATCTGGGGATCCGGTGGCCGACATCGCTCCACGGAGGCGATCGGATCAGGACGCCCTGTGTTAATGTTAACGATAACTGAAGCAACCCGGAAGCCACCAAACGGGTGCTCCCAAAGCGGAACACAATCATTGAGGGAGGGGGAGCCGTCTAGTTTATCGTTTGTGCGTTTCAGGCAGCTCCTCGGTCCTGCAAGGCATTGCACGCCAGCATCACATCACAGTACTGCAAAATGCAATGCAGAGAGAGAGAGGATAAGAACCAAACAGGCTACACGATAGGATTGCAATGGAGAGATAAGTGCCAAACGGGCTAGACAACAGTAGTAATTTCAAGGATAACCTGGAAAAGGGAGGCTTGTTGGGGGGAAACTAGACCGTTTCTTTCGAGTGTTCGGCTCACCGACTGGTTGCGTTAGTGGATAAACTCCAACTCCATCCATGTTATGTTAGGCTTGCTCCTTGGCTTCCTGCGATCGGAAAGAAAGGTTAGGAAAGCGATGCCTGCACGCCGAAGCAAAGCATTAGAAATTTGGTCCCCTGAAACGTAGAATTGCACCCTACAATCTCTAAATTATTATACAGTAACGACGAAACTGCAATCTATCGGAGATGCAGTACCAGCCAAGAAAGCTGAGGCCATCATCCTCCATTGAAAATGTGATTCCCTGAACAATAAAATTGCACGGAAAAAACAGAAATCATACCAATTTTATTTTAAAGAGGTTAAGCAAGGCATTTCTGTAACAACTATCCACGCCCACTTTATCCTTGGCCAGCCTGAGTGTGTTACAATTTCACCCCTTCTTCTCCAGGTTGCCGCGAGCAAGACCAAGATATACATGGTGCTCGAGTACGTAAACGGAGGAGAGCTATTTGAGAAAATCGTAAGGATTCTTCTCATACGCTCCCACTGTGATAAGCATGCTTCACATGCATCCATCTCTAACACTCCCTGATGCATGCCAGGCACTAAAGGGCAAGCTCTCAGAGAAGGAAGGGAGGAAACTGTTCCAGCAGCTAATGGATGCTATAAGCTATTGCCACGAGAGGGGGGTTTATCATAGGGACCTTAAGGTAAGTAACTACTGAGAGTTTCCACCTTTTGATCCCGAACTACGAATGGATACGAGATTAAGACCTGACATTCTTCCGCACCTTCTGTAGCCCGAGAATGTCCTGGTTGATGCGAAAGGGAACATAAAGGTCTCTGATTTTGGACTAAGTGCCCTTCCACAGCATCAACGGGTATGGTATTTTTTCCTTTTAGGTAGCTGAATCATTCCCCTGGTGTCTGAAACAAAGCCCCATTTTCAGAAAGATGGATTACTGCATACCACGTGTGGCAGCCCTAACTACATAGCCCCTGAGGTAAGGACTAAGCATTATTTCATCTGGCTCTGAACTTGATACTGGTTCATGATTCTTCTGCTTACTCCATAAGGAGGATGGAATTTCTGATGGTGGTGTATGTATGTAGGTCCTTCTCAACAAAGGTTATGATGGCTCCATGTCAGATGTATGGTCCTGTGGCGTTATCCTCTATGTGATGCTTACAGGGAATCTTCCGTTCGATGACGAAAATATGGTTGTCCTTTATCAAAAGGTATGAAGCAAAGAATCGAGGCCCACGCTAGCAAAATGTGTTCTCTTTTTTGCTGCGGCCATATATCTCACAGTGTGATATTATCCTCAGATTCTAAAAGGGGATTATCGTATTCCTAAATGGCTTTCGCCAGGAGCCCAAGATATACTGCGAAAACTCCTGGATCCAAACCCCATTACCCGCCTTGGCATGGACGGACTAAGGGAACACGATTGGTTCAATCAAAGTTATACTCCAGCAGTGCCTTTTGATGATGATGACGATAATTACGTTGGTGATGACAACTCCCACATGACCAAGGTAGCCTATGTGATGTGCACTAATATTTGTTGTATAACCGCATGGTTTTAAATTTTAACTGAGTGACAAAGACTGAACTTCATCTGTTTTTTTTCTTGAAGAACAATGGCATTCAAGACAACCCCGCAATCAACCAGATGAATGCTTTTCAACTCATCGGAATGTCCTCGTGCCTTGATTTATCTGGGTTTTTTGAGAAAGAGGTGAGTCCAATATTTGTTTCTTCATCTCATCTGTTAGTGTATGTTCATGCATTTTACTGTTAGGAAAGCAACTTAACTTTATTGAAGGCCCAAGGGGCATATATATATTACACATGACTTGAGGTGCAAGGAAACTAAACATAGACTAATAAGGACTCCTAGACCAGTACTAATACTCCTTAACATTTACTTCCTCAAAATTACTACCAAAGGGTCTAAGCTAGATACAATCCAAACCCATACATCCAACAGGATCTAACTTGGAAGAGCCACACCTGGGATAATAAGCACAGCAAACAACAAAAACGTTAGGCAATGTGAGAAAACAATAGCAGACAGGAACAAGTGACTGACAAAGCCACTGATTATTGTCATAATTATGTACATGTCCTCACCGCGCATCTGCTATGCCAATATTATGGAGTTATAAATGTCCTCCATTGTAGTAGTGACCCTCCACTAAACTCAGATGTGTGGCTTCATTGCAGGACGTCTCAGAAAGAAAAACCAGATTTGCATCAAACTACCCCCCTACTTATCTATTTGAGAAGATAGAGAGCAATGTCATAAATATGGGCTTCCAAGTACAGAAGAACAATGGCAAGGTTAGTGACCTCAGATGTGTCTATGGACTAAGAACTGCATCACGTTAAAACTCACAGTTCAATGGATTGTGTACAAACTTTGTTTTCTTCAGTCAGTGATGTTGACAGCTATATTATCATGTTCTACAGCTAAAAGTGATCCAAGAGCGCAAGGGACCAACAAATCCAAGAGGGCATGGATCATTATTAATTTCTGCTGAGGTACTTTTATCATATTGTCACAATTAAAAATACAGATTAATGCAAAAGAAGAAGTAACTATCCAATACAGCTTCCATTTCATGGTGCAATCTGTTCCTGTTGGACATTACTGCATCTTAACATAGTTGTGTTGTGATTCCAGGTGTTTGAGATCAATGAATCTCTTTATGTTGTTGAGCTCAAAAGGTCATGTGGAGACTGCTCCCTATACAGACAGGTAGGGTTACTTCCCTTGCTGAGTCCGTTTTAAATAATCTGTTTATTTCTTGATCATTTCGGTCACAGCACAACATCCAAATTACAATTTATAACCTATGCCATTCTTGCTGCAGCTGTGTGCAACGCTCTCAGACGACTTGGGAATATGCAAAAGCCAGCAACTTCTGAAGAATGACTCCATAAGACAAGAGCTTTATCGATTTAATAGTAGCTTTTGATGAAAGGGCCCCCTACCCTTTTTCTAGCAAGAGAGCCTACTAGGTAAATGGATCCTCCCTTTTAAACAAGAGGACCCACCAGGCCACCACTAGGTACCATGTATGACACATTTTTGTAAAACCAAGTTGTAGATATACAAGCTACACCATTCAAATACCAAATATTGACCAGCCGAGGAAAAAAAGATTTCTCTTGGATGGTTCATGATAGTTTTATTTTTATTACTTTGGGCAGATTTGCTACTGACTATGTATGCAATATTATGTAAACAGTTGAAGTGCGCATATAAGAATTACCTGTTCTTTGTTTCCCCCTCTTAAGTTTGATGTATACTGGAAGGCAGATCTTCTGTCAATCCTTCAGCTTCTAAATGAGTTCCATGACTTTCGGAAGAATATAATATGATAGAAGATTGTTCTTCTAGTGCAGTTCTTTCAGATACATGCTCAAGTATAAGAATATCTAGCAACCTTAAACTTCAGATTACTAGCAAGGTACGGACAAACAATTGGTACACCAGAACTTTTTCTGGTACAAAAGGTTCTAAGTTTACCAGTAATCCTTACATGAGCACTGCCCTTCACTAAAATGGTGGAAACGATTCCGGTCTCTAATAATCAACTTGCGACCATATACCAAGGATATAAGCTTAATCGCTGAATGGCAGTCTTCACAAGCTCTGAGGTTCTTTGTTATTCGAAGAGTTGACCCTGGAGGGGTGGTCAGCAGCCCAAAAGCAATGGCCAGTTTCTCGCTATGTTCAGCCAGTGCCCGCTTTTTAGACTGCTCATCAATATCTTGCAATACCAAGCTTGTCATGGGCCTATATCCTGCTTGTATTAACCGGCCAATCATCTCTTCCAACATTTTGTAGATCTCCTCAATCCTCGGATGCGATCTATCACCAGAGACAAACTCATGAACTGTGTTCTCCCATTCGATCGAGCTTCTTCCAGGAACCCTCTGAATGTTCTCCCTCTTGATCGTTTTTCTCATTTCTGCAACACCTTCCCACGAGTTTGCTTGTGCATATATGTTTGACAGCAACACATAGTGTCCATCTGCAAGAGGATCCAGTACTTTCAATTTGGCCATAGCTTCCTCTGCAATCTCTACATTCTTATGGATGCGACAGGCGCCAAGAAGTGTTCTCCAAATAATTGCATCCGGCTCAAAAGGCATGCTCCTGATAAGCTGCATTGCCTCCTCAACATGGCCTGCACGACCCAAAAGATCGACCATGCATCCATAGTGCTCGACCCTTGGCACCACACCGTGAACGTCAGTCATTGAGCTGAAATACTTCTTGCCATCACTCACTAGACCAACATGAGTGCACGCCATAAGAACTCCAACGAAGGTGATCTCATTTGGTTGCAGTCCTTGTGATATCATCTCTGAGAACAAACTTAGAGCATCATGGCCAAGTCCGTGATTGGCCAGTCCAATGATCATTGAACTCCAAGTAAGCACGTCCATCACAGGCATAGCGCGGAACACCTTCAGAGAATTCTCAATGTCACCGCACTTGGCATACATGTCAACCAGAGCAGTACCCAGCTTCATGTCTACCTCAACCCTGTGGCTCTCGACAAACCGGTGCACCTCTGCGCCAATGGTCAGTGCCCCCATGTCGCTGCACGCCGAGAGCACGCTCACCATGGTGATGCAGTCTGGAGCGACACGCGCCGCTCGCATCACCTTCCACAGCTCCAGCGCCTCCTTGGACCGACGGCCCTTGGCGTACGCGGAGATCATCGAGCTCCACGAGAAGGCGTCCCTGTCGCTCGTCGCGTCGAATATCTCCCTCGCCATGCCGACGTCCCCTCTCACGGCGTACCCGTGGATCATCGTGTTCCAGGACACCAGGTCCCGGTCCCGCATTCCGTCGAACACCCTCCTCGCCTCCGCGACCTCGCCGCGCGCGACGTAGGCCGCGAGCATGACGTTGCAGAGGAACACGTCCCGGCGGGGCGCCTCGTCGAACGCGGCGCGCGCGAGCTCCGCGCGGCCCGACTTGGCGTACATCTCGACGAGCGCGGTGCGGACGAAGAGATCGGCGGCGGCGAAGCCGGACCTGACCGCGCGCGCGTGGAGCGAGGCGCCGAGCGGCCGGGTCGCGGCCGACGAAGCGAGCGCGGCGGAGGCGGCGCAGGCCTGGAGGGCGAGGGAGAGGGAGAAGGAGTTGGCGAGGAGGCGGGGCGCGCGCGGGAGGAGCCCGCGGAGGACGAGCAGCGCCTGCAGCGGGAGCGAGGCGCGGAGGTAGGCGCGCATGACGGTGCTGACGACGAACGGGTCCGCGTCGGCCGACTTGACGAGCCGCGCGTGCGCCGCCAGGTGCTCCGGCCGCGGCGTGGCCGCGCCGCCCCCTCGCGCGCGCATCGCCGAGAGCTTGCTTGAAGCGTTCGAGCTCGGCTTCGGCGGGTGCACGAACAGCACGCTGTGACGGCTCGGCGAGCGCGTCTCGGCCGTGCGATCGGCGGAGGCTGGATCTGACGGCAAGGAAGCTGCCAGCGAGGCCGCCGCACGTAGCAAATACGTGGAGCGGCCTTGGCTGCTCCTGCTTCATTCGAGCGCTGCGCCTACCGCGACCAACCTGACCGGCCAGCCGCCCCGCCGTCGTCGCCTCTGCCGCCGCGATTTGTCCGGCGGGATCGCACGAGGAAGAAAGGGAGAGAGATGAGGAGCAGCGAGGCCATGGAGCTCCTGGGCTTCGCTCCCTACTCCCGCCCGTCCCCTTCCGAGGTATCATCCATCTCCCCAATTCCGCCCCCCGACCCCTTCCTCCCTGCCGCGCTGCTCCCCCTGCGAATATCCCACGGCGGATCATCTCAGGATGGTAGTCCAGCTTTGTCCGGCTAGTTCTTGCTCGGACGAGCTAATCTGCTAGCAGTTTCTGCTGGATTTTGGCTAAACGTTGGTGTCAATCTCCCAAATTTGAGTTCATATATGCTCTGAATCTTCTGTTGCAGGTTAAGGCTGCGTATAGAAGAATGGTCATGGAGTCCCATCCCGATCGCGTCCCGATGGATCAGAAGCCTCAAGCCGAGTCAAAATTCAAGCAGGTCAGGTAATCAGTCGTGGTGAAGGAACTTCAGGCATCATGATGCTTGTTATTTGCATGTTCCTTGTTCATGGTGTTATTCAGGCATGAAAGGCAATTAGACGAGTATTTTAGCTTGATCATGCTAATTTTTTAAGCAACCTTTATACCATGCTAGTTGCTCATTCATAATTGAATCACTGATGTCAAAATGAGCATAGATGTGATATTAATGTACTTGCTGAGCTTTAGAATGCTTGTATAGCTTTTGGATTTACCATGCTAATTGCCCTTCCACAATTAAATCGTTGATATCAAAATGAGCATATATGTGATCTTAATGTAGTTCCTGAGCTTTAGGTGACCTGTTCAGCTTATGGACATAGTATATTTGGCATTCCCAAGCATGCAAGAGAGTTTCTGCAAATTTGAATGTGCTAACACTCATACCTTTTCCAGTTGAGCGAATATTAAATTTGAGGCATTCTTTGGTTCATAGGATAGGAATATCATAGGAGCAAGAAAATCATAGGAAGTGAGATGACATGCATCTCAATTCCTATAGGGAAAGAGATGTCATTTGATGCATAGGATAGGAATTTTTCCATTAAGTCTAGGCTAATGTCTTTTTTCCTTTGAAATGTGAAGGATTGATTCCTATCCTACATAGGAGTAGGAATCCATTCCTACAAACCAAAGGAGGCCTGAATGTGGTTTTCCGCACGAGGATCACAATCAATTTTCTGCATTTGATTTCTTTCTCACAATTGTAATCTATAAATCTTAATTGTGTTTGTGTTTTGCAGGTAGTAGAAGCATATTCTTGTTTGAAGGATGGTATGTTATTCACTTTGATAACCAGCCTTTGTTTTTCCTTTATGGTATTGGTTATTGATTTGACTGATGGGATTATGGTATGCTTGTTGCGGTTTGCAGGTCGAAGATTTGGGAACAGAATGGAAGGTAAATTTGGTTTCAGAATGCAGATTTGTTGTTTCCTCCATCTTTGTAGCTGATGAGATGATCATGCGTGAAATGCAGTACATGTAATGAGGTCTGGTGTTCCAACGGGATACAGAAGATCAAACAAGATATTGGTTAAAGCCCCCTTTCTGCTCATAATTTGTGCCGCAGTTTCCTTTGGTTCCTACAGCGCTTCGAGGTAACCATACTTACACTTTTTTGCAGGAGAAAAACATCAAGATCTACATTCTTATTGCTGATTGAGAAATCCATTTTGGTTTCATGAAGGGCATACCAGCGGCAAAAGGATGTGTGTTCCTCTCAGAACCCTTTTCTTCCATAATGGAAACTCATTGTACTGTCGATATCCATATAAGCTAATAGAAGAGAAGATCTGTGTGTTGCAATTTGAGATGCAAAACAATCTCTCCACTGAATAAAGGCACCAATCACTGTTTGTGATTTCAAAGAAAAGACACATGCTTTGTAGATGTTCAGTTTAGCTCTAGGGAGCATATGCTCCTGCGCGCCGCTTCCCTGAACGTTTTGTCCAGTGGACAAAAGATGTCGTTAGTAATGGAAAGGTTGCCATCACTATTAATGATGTTATTGGCCCGTATTTTGTTACCAGGAAGGGTTTGAGGCAAGGGGATCCGTTTTCCCCCTTGCTTTTCAATTTGGCGGCTGATGTTCTTGCTACCCTGGTGCAAAGGGCGCAAGAACAAGGATTTATCAAGGGAGTGTTGCCTAGGTTGTATTCAGGAGGTCTAAATATTTTGCAATATGCGGACGATACTATTTTCTGTTTTGAAGATGACCTTGAGGGGGCTAGGAACCTCAAAATTGTTAGAGTTATAATATAAGTCATGAACCCCTTTGTATTTATCCCGTTGTATAAGGGGTTTCCTGCATATGTTCCACACCTGTACATGTATATATATATCGGCCTATGGCCTCATGGGAATACAAGTTGCATATTCCTAACATGGTATT